GGCTGTGGACGGTGTGGTTCCTACCCTTGCAAGTAAATATACAAAGCGAATAATATAAATTAAATGCAATAACATTTGCTAGCCAAACACCTGCGCCATGCACTGTCATAATTCGCCCCAATCGGGGCTGCCATTTGAGCATATGTGAGGCGCTTTCTTATGACCGCGTGTATATGCTTGTATATGTATGTGTGTGCGTGTGTGTCTGTTGGTAACTAATTCGTGTTTCTTTTCTTTTGCCTTTCTTTCGCCGCCTCTTCTTCCAGTTCGCTCTAGCGTGGCTGTTGAGCTGTGGTCGTCAGCTGGTGCAAAACAGCCATACGAACACAAGCCCAATTTGCCGCGAGAGGAGACGAAAAGTTCGCGTTCGATCTGCTTTAGTCCGGATGGTCGGTATTTTGCATACTCGAATGGTGCCGAGGTGAAGGTGCTACGTGTGCCCATTTCCAACACTGGCGACGGAGATTGCTGGCCGGTACAATGCACGCTGCCGCGTCCAAAGGCCTTCTATCTCAAGTTCTCACCGCGCGGCAATTATCTGTGCACGTGGGAGCATTATGCCATCACAAAAGATCGTCCCGAGGGTGCTGCGAATTTGCTTGTTTACGAGATTGCCACTGGCAAGGAGGTCTTTGCCATTGTACAAAAGAATCAAACGGATTGGCAGCCATCGTGGTCATCTGATGAATCGATCTTTGCGCTGGTCGTCGGCGGTGAAGCACTTTTCTATGATTTGGCAAATGGCCCGACTGAAGGATTTGCCAGTGCATCACGCAAAATTGGCGGCAGTCGCGGCGGTATGCTATCCCTCGGTCCGGGCAACAGTCCGCCATATTTGGCATTCTATACACCGGGCGCTAAGGGTGCACCATCCATGTGTAAGCTCTACAAGTATCCAGCTTTGGGCCAGAACCAAACGGTTGCCTGTAAGAGTTTCTTTCAAGCGGATCGCGTCGAGATGCTATGGAATAAGCGAGGCAGCGGCCTGCTGCTTTTAACGAGCACGGAGGTGGACAAGAGTGGTGCCTCATACTATGGCAATCAAGCGGTACATTTTATGGCCACCAAGGGCGATACTTGCTCTGTGCCACTATCGAAGGAGGGCCCCGTACACTGTGTGAAATGGAGCCCCAAGGCCAATGAATTTGTTGTCGTCTATGGCTTTATGCCATCCAAGGCAGCACTCTATAATCTAAAGTGTGATGTTATCTTTGACTTTGGAGAGGGACCACGTAACTGCGCCTACTTCAATCCATTTGGCAATCTGATTGTGCTCGCCGGCTTTGGCAATCTACCCGGCGCCGTGGAAGTGTGGGATGTTAGCAAGAAGGAGAGGATCGCCAATATAAAGTGTGCGGACACCACACACTTTGAATGGCATCCGAATGGCGAATGGTTTGTCACGGCAACAACTGCGCCCCGACTGCGCATTAGCAACGGGTGAGTGACTCAATTAATTATAGAGCTAATTTTCATATTTACTTATTGTGTTTAGATTCAAGGTGTATCACTATTCGGGCGCATTGCTGCATGAGACATTGTGGCCGCAGGGTCAGGAGTTGCTTGGCATCGAGTGGCAGCAGTATGCGGATAACACATTTGCCGAGCCAAAAATCACGAAGGCCAAACATGAGGGCATCAAGTCCAGTCAGCCGGAGGCCAGCAAGAAGGCCTACACACCGCCCCATTTGCGTTTGCTCAAGGAGGGGAAAAATCCGGAAAAATATTTGCCGCAGCCTCAGACGGTGCCAGGACTAACAGCAACAGCACCAGGTAATAGCAGCCGGAAAATTTGGCATAGACAATATGACTTGGATAATCCGATAATGCGGCGATGCCAGGGCTCCGGCGAGCAACAACAGGGCCAGGGCCAGATGGTAACGAGCATGGTCAACAACGGCCATAGCAGCTCAAGTGTCAGCTCGACGCGACCCAATCGACGCTACCGACCCTACCAACATAAGCGCTACTAAAAATTCTAAAGATTCATCATTCCATTCCACTCATACCAAAATAAAAACCCAAATGCATTGTGTGTAGGATATTAGAGAACGCGGCTGTAAGTAAAAAACGTACATTGCCTACCAAAACATTTTCAATGGTTATATTTCGATCCCAAAACTATGAATTCTGCACCGATATAACGTAATTTTGGGTCAGCTATACTTTTCTATACTGTCCGATAATAGCCAATTCAGATGTTGTATTAACCCAACTAATATCAACTATTTAGCATTATAATTTTCAAGATTTCAATACTTTGAAAACTTTCGAATTTTCCTCTAGTTTTCCTCTTGTTTCATTATCATTTTGCTATCGAGATGAGCTTGAGTCTTTCGCTTAAAATTGAGAAAGCCTTCGATTGTTGTCTGCATTAAAGAAGAAAATAAAAACTGTAATTCTTGTATTATTTCTCGACATCTGGTATATAAACCTTTGATGATGATGAATATTTATCATAAATGATTTGGCGTCGGTCATTTTTGTTTCCTTTTTTCTTTTATTTTTTGTAGAACAATTAAAGTTAATTTATGATTATTAGAAATGTCCTTCCGTATCTAATTTTGTTTTGTTTCGCATCCTTTGCAGGTGTTGGCAAAAATAAGAAGAGAAATACCAACGGCAGCAAAGCAAAGGGCAATAATAACATCAACAACAAGCGTGAAGCTGGCGATGGCACACCATTAGATGCGGCTGCCACTGCAGTGGCTCCCATTGAGGGTCTGGACCAGCAGCAGCAGCAGCTGCAGCAACAGGAGGAGATCGCAACAGGTTCAGCTGTAAATGTTGGTGAATCGCCGCGCAAACCAGCGCAGCAGCAGAAGCAGCGTCCGCAGCCCAGGCAGCATCAGCAATACCAACCACAGCAGCAGCAGCAGCAGCAACAGCATCAACAGCATGAGCAACAAAACACGGTTGAGCTCGGCACACCACGTCATTATCAGGCCAATGGCAATGTTCCGCCGAACAATAATGCCAACAACAATAACAATAATAGCGACAAGGATCGCAAGATTCGTAATGTGGCCAAAAAGTTATCGGACATTAAGAAGCTCAAGTCGCGACAAAGTCAAGGCGAAACTCTGGAATTGAATCAGTTAAACAAAATTAAAATGGAGGCAAGGTATTTGGAGGAGCTCAAGGCGCTCAAATTGTCCGTTTAGTAATGATTACATGCCATCAACTGTTAAATGTGTGATACAACAATAGCAACAACAACAACAACAATAGCAACAGCAAAATACAAAGCAAAACAAGCAATTGAAGGAGTTAACCGCACCAAAAACAGCAATAAGCAAAACAGCTGCCAAACAAAAAAAAGTTTTGGTTTTTCAGGGCCCCATCCCCCATATTATGTACTTTTGAGCTTCCTGTATTTGATTTAATAATGAAATGTTAGTGCTGTTTTCTTTACGTGCGCAAATTTTTCAAAGTTAAGAAAGAAAAAACTATATAAAAACATTTTTCTACTATTGTGATTTTTGAATATATATTTCGGCCACCACTACTACAGCAGCAATAAACTCATGTATGTACCAAATTGTGCTACACAGTTAATAAATAGTTTCCAGACAACAACAAAAAGAAAACAACAATTCTTATGTTTCCCAATTGGATTTTTTTTTAATGAACTCTTCTCGTCCATCTTCCTTAACAGCCACATAGTAGCCAAGATTCTCGTACTTGTGCCGCATATACGCAATATAACCAAATACACCTGCTATTGCCGTCAATCCGATGCCCATGATAATTTTATTCTGCAAAAGACAACGGAAAATATTCCAGTGTTCAGGATAAATATCAAATTCATTTGCATACCGGCTTCGTATAAAGTTCAAAGTTGATTAGTCTGAAAACGCCAGTGCTACGAATGGAGCGTATGCCCTCGCCAGGCGCTTTTGTTTCTTTCTCACTCATAGTTTCAATTTACAGATTTGCTCAAATTCCCACAATTTTGTAGCACATTGCACAATTCTAGTAAACAAGAGAATACTTTTATGATGACTATCGATAAGCACAATCCAGCTGCCACACATACGATTAATATTGAATCATTGGAAATGTGGTGAGTTACTATTTGAAAAGGAACTGAACTATTATCGATATATTTTACATATTTTTGACTAAAAAACATATTAAAAATAATGAATATATAATTTTCAATCTATCTAAACTAAAGACGAATGGATCAGTATTTTTCAAACGATCATCTAATGTAGGTATATTGAAGGATAACCTTAATTTTAACGAATATAATTTTATATTAAACAGAAAGTTATTTTTCCCAATTGGATGTTTTCTTTATAAACTCGGTATGGCCATCTTCCTTTAGAGCTAAATAATAACCGAGCTGCTCGTATTTGTGGCGCACATACGTTGTATAACCGATAATACCAACAGCTGTGGCAAGCCCCAGGCCCAACAAAACTTTGTTCTGGAAGACAAAAATATTTAATTATGATAAGGACAAATCTTTATTCTTCGCTTACTTGTGGGGTATTTAGCTCAGCATTTATAAATTTTAAGACACTGGCGGTGTTTGAGGAACCTATGTTCCTAGGTGGACTTTTAATTTGTTTATCGTGCATGATAATTTAATCTTGATAATTTCAGTAAAAACAACAATAACTGGCATAGAAATATTTGAAGTATTGTGAAAAGCCAAATTTATATTTCAAACAGAGCCGTATGTGTCTACCTATCGATAGGCATGTCAGTCACAATTAACTATTTTGAATTTAAGAAAATATCTACCATCGATGTTGATTAGGTCGACTGCTGATTTATAGTTTTATTGCAATAAAATAGTAATAATAAAATAAAAACAATATGTATACAACGCAGAAATTTTAATGTTTGCATTCAAAAAAGTATATATACAACGGAGAAAATTCAAGTGCGTCTATACATTGTACATAGATTTTTATGTACATATAATTAAAGAGGTGCACTGTAATTGATTTGTTGTTAGTCCGTCGGTCACTTAACACAAAAGAACATAAATTTACAATAAATATATGTAACGAGTCTTTAGAATTTATAATAAGCCGATGAGTTGTTTGTTATGTACAAGATCAAATTGTATTCCCCAATATTTTAATCAAAATCAAATTGATAGCCGCGATCTACGAAACTTAGGCCACGTTCGGAGCTAACTGGAAAGGCATCCATAAACAAAATGTAGTCCTTGTATTCGGGTGAGCGTTTAAGATCCTGCAAGGAAATCGATTTATGAATAAAGGAGAACTGATATTTAAATTAAGTACCCACCTTGAGATCAACATAGTCCTCAAAGCCACAGAGTACGTAATATATTAGCAGAGGTGGTTTGCGCGAAAATCTATTATTTTGTTTGTTTGGTTCGCGCTTCTTCAGAATGTTAAGCGCTCGTTGTAGAAAATTGGGCGTCAGCTCTCGGCAATAGGACACATCCAGATGATGCAGTTTTGGACACATCTCAATGAATTTTAGCAGAACATCATCGCACATTTTGGTCCAATTGCGCAGGCACAGCAACTGCAGATTTGTCATGCAGGTGTAACGCTCCAAAACATCTACGGCATGGGTCCAGCTACAAATCGCCAGGCGCTGGAGCTTTCGATACGACCAAATGGACAGATCTGCATCCCAGCCGGGCTCCAAAGGCATATAATAACCGTCAACAGCAAAACCTATAATATCCGGCGCTTTGCGCTCCATTATCTCGTAGAACTCGTGCACTTCTCGGATCTTGTGGTCGTAAGTATCCACACTCGCTGACACCGGTATACAAAACTCGGTGTCGAGCAGCACAATCAACTGCTTGAGCGCCGGTAGCTTTAGCACCTCTGCTAGAACTGTCTTCAATGTGGCCAAATTGAGCTTCAAGATGGTGAGATTGTTGAGGTAGGCGACGCAATTGTTGAGCCGCAGTTTGCTTATAACATCGTACATTCGAATGTCCAGCACTTGCAAGTTGGGCAATTGACTGCAGAAATCAAATAAGCAATCATTTATATTGTTATTTACGTTTAGCTCACTTCGGCTTACCTGCAGACCTCATCGAGGTATTCCTGCTGCAGTTCGTATGCCTTATGCTGGTCCTCGTACAAATGTAGCTCCTGCAGATGCCGAAAATTGGATAGATAACGACCTTGTATTGGCGTTGTCAGACGCAATCGCAACAGATTCGGCATCATTTTGGCCATTTTGCATATGCTACGATCTGATGGATAACAATCCACATCTTCCGGATCATAATAGAAACTAGTCAAATTGGGCAGCACGTAAATCTGCATTTCCTCCAGGTCTTTCAGCAAAGTGCACAAACAGCTCGACACCGTTATGTGGCGTATGAAGGGACGCATTTGTTTTATGAAATAGCACAGATCATCATAATTTGGCAGTAATTCACGCCACTTTTCCATATCGAGCTGGTCGTAGATGTGCGAGCTCCGCCAGCGGTTTAGACATACCCATTGAAAGCGCTGGCAAACTCTGGCGAAGGCTACCTCGCTGCGTAGATCTTGCAAACGCTCGAATATACATTCCAGACAATCATTGTTCAATTTAAATATCTCCGGCGTTTGTTCGTTTGTGCTTGCGGGGGGTGTGGCATGTTGAATTGACGGCTCATCGGCCATGACTGTAAATTTTGAATTTAGTACACTTTGGATATTATTGAATTATTAACATATGCCGTAAAAAGCTTTTCGTTTTAACAGCTTGCTATTTAGAATTAATGCGATCTACTGTCTATACGTTCGAATTACGGTAAAACAAAGTTTATAAAAATTCACTTCATAACAAACAAAATGAACAACAGCTGTTTTCTGGCAGTGTTGACAAATAGAGATGTGAAGATTTAGTCGGAGCGACTTTAATCGAACTGGTAGCGAACTATGAACAAACAGAGATCGACGTCTGTATCATATGAATATAATTATAATATGCATAAATCCTATGCAAATTTACAAATTATTTGCAAAGGATTTATTTTAGTTATAAGCCATGCACATAGTAAATGAACTGCATTGTGTAATTTTCGAATCAATGCTAGTTCAAAATGGTACCTTTAAGCGCACTATTTTGCTAGTGCTGTACAACTCTAAGTCTCATGACAGTATATTTATCGAATATGCAAAATTTATCGAGACAACACGTGTGTGTGCGTTGGTAGAATTTGTGTCTTTTTTTTGTGACTGCAGCGAGTAAGTCGTTGCTTGAATTTTTGTGAGAAATAAAGAAGAGATTAACAAGAAAAAAAATGGCTGATGAAATTAAGTTAGTAGATGCTATTGTTAATGAGTATCTGAAGACAAAGGATAAAAACCTGGCGAAAGTGTTTGAGCAGAAAGTAAAAGCGGTAAGTTCTTCCGGCTTTTTATTTGTATGCCTTTTTTTATTTTCATTTTCAATTAAATTTGTATTGTATTTGCACGCAAAGCCTCGACATCGATAGTGCGATTGATAAATATAAACTCCCAGTATTTTCCGTATATGCCGCATTTTAATATGTTTTGCGTGCGCGCCATGCCGAAAGCACGTGTTTCCCTAACCCAACATGTTTTGTATAATAAATTATTTTGTATATTTATAGAAACGTGTACCCAAGGGTACACCCAAGCTGACAGAAATCATAGCTTACTACCGAAGCACATTACAAAAGCTTCCAATTGCTTCATTGGGAAACTCGGACAGTGAGTTAGAAACTGACAGCGATGAGGAAAAAGAGCAAGTGGTGGAGAGGCCGATAGTGACTGTTCCCCCAAATTATGAAGATGAGAGCAGCGATGATAGTGATAATGATGATGAGATGCCGAAAGCTGAAGCTGTAAAGTCACCAGTAAAGGCATCTTCAGCGAAAGAGGCAGCTGAATCAAGCAGCGAGGACAGCTCCGATGAGGAGCCAGCTAAACAGCCAACTAAGGCTGTCGGTGCTGGAAAAGGAAAACCCGCTGCAAAGACTGCAGCCAAGGAAGCCACGTCTTCAAGCAGCGATGACTCTTCCGACGAGGAGCCAGCTAAGACCGCAAAGCCATCCACAAAGCCAGCCGAATCCAGCAGCGAGGAAAGTTCTAGTGAGGAGGAACCACCAAAAAAGGCAACAGCGTCTAAGCCGGCAGCTAAAAAAGCTGAATCCAGTAGCAGCAGCGATGACAGCAGCGATTCAGAAGGGGAGCAAAAGAAAGGAGCTGCCAAGCCAGCGGCAAAGGCAGCCCCTGCCAAGAAGGCCGACAGCAGCGACGATTCCTCTGATGAGGAGGCACCGGCCAAGAAAGCAACACCCGCTAAGGCAGCGGCAAAGGCAACCCCTGCCAAGAAGGCCGACAGCAGCGACGATTCCTCTGATGAGGAGGCACCGCCCAAGAAAGCAACACCCGCTAAGGCAGCGCCGGCCCAAAAAGCTGCAGCGTCCTCTAGTTCTGATTCCTCCTCTGAAGAAGAAAAACCGGCTAAGAAGTCAGCTGTGAAACCAGCAGGAACACCTGCTAAGAAGCCAGCAGCCAAGTCTGAATCTGAGGACTCATCCGAGGACAGCAGCTCCGAGGATGAAGACACTGCAGGCAAACCAGCTATCAAAAAGGGCGCTGCCCCAGCCAAGAAGGAAGAATCTTCATCTGAGGAAGATTCCGATGAGGAGGAGGAGGCCAAACCTGCAGCCAAGCCAGCAGCCAAGCCACCGGCTAAAAAGGATGAAAGCTCTGACAGCTCCTCGTCCGAAGATGAGCCGCCAGCAAAGAAGAAACCTATGGCGGTCAAAAAGCAAGAGAGCAGCGATAGCGACAGCGACAGCGACAGCAGCGATGAGTCTGGCGAGGTGAAGCCTAAGAAACAACAAGCTGTGACCAATGGTGTTGCTGGCAAGAAACGCAAGTTTAGCGGCGGCGATGAAGACGAGGCAACACCCAACAAGAAGTACAACAATTTCGTCAAGTCAGGTGAACAGCAGGTGAGTTGGTCAAAGATTTAATATATGCCATTTATATATATATAGGCTTTTATTAAGAGGTTTCACTAAGCAGTTTTCTAGTTAGTGTTGTTATGCTGTACCGAATATTGACAATTTAAGTAGCCATTAAATCAGAATTTTGAGTTTTGCAAATTTCTACTCAAGCGTTTATAATCAAGAAGAAATCAGAAGAAATCCAAAAATAGAAAATTTGTTAAAGTATGGGCAATTCATTAAAATCCATCTAAATATCTCAGAATGAGTTGGTGTTCAGCTTTTTTTTTTATTTTTTTTTATTTATGATGATATGATATTCGATAATAATGGGATGTCAGTTTGAATGACGCAGGGCAATTGTGCTTATCAAATATTTACAAAAGGTTAAAATTTGTCGTTCGCTTTAATAAGCACGTAATTACGTTTTTTTTTAAATGTCAGGGCTCAGATCTATTAGTACTTTCCAATTTATATGCATGGTTAAAGTCGAAGCACCAACAGCAGGTGGGCTTTTAATCAAACAGAATCTGCTTTCGAATTTCCACTTTTTTTTTAATAAACTCCTTTGATAAACAGCATCAGCAGCCGAAGTATAATGGCTTCACCTCCACGCCGAACAATGCAAATAACAACAAGAAAAATCCGTTTAACAACAACAGCGACGGCGGCAAACGTCGCCCTTCGCCTTTCCGCCGTGTCCGCACCGAAGAGGTGATCGTAGACTCGCGCGTGAAGGACATGTCCTTTGAGGCTAAGGTGAGTGCCACAAATGGATTTGAGTGTGGCGCGCCGTACGTGTGTGTTTCAGTGTGTGGGTGTGGGTGTGGGTTGGGGACAGACAAACTAGCATTACTATAGTCTTACGATTGGGGTTGTGCATGAATGAAGCAGCGACAGAGGGGTTACTCACAAATTAGCTAAAGCGCCTTTCAAACTCAAATCTCAGATCATTTGTGGCATTCGCCGGTTCCGTTACTGAAAAAATGTTTTTGTTATTTTCCAACCAGCTTGGCTAATTTGTGTTTAACCATTTTGTGTTGCTTTATTCTAGAATGACGGTGGCTTCAAGAAGTTCAATAACGGACAACGTGGACGTGGCGGCTCTGGTTTTGCCGGCCGTCCGGATCGTAGCAAGTGGGAGAGCAACAATCAAAATGGAGAGGAAAACGGAGAAGGCGGTGGTTATCGTAAGAGCTTTGGAGGCTTTGAGCGCAAGTCGTTTGATGGGCAGCGCGGTGGTAACCGTGGCGGTGGCTTCAATCGCAACGGTGGAGGCGATCGCGGTGGTCGTGGCGGTTTCAACCGTGGCGGCGGCGGCGGCGATCGTGGTGGACGCGGTGGCTTCGGCCGCGGCGGCGGTGGCTTCAACCGTGGCGGCGGCGGCGATCGTGGTGGACGCGGTGGTCGCGGTGGATTCGGACGTGGTGGTGGTGGACGTGGCGGCGGTGGCGGTTTCGGCAACAAATCCTTCGATTCGGGGACGAAACAAAATAAGAAAATAACTTTCGATAATTAATATAGTAATGTAGTTTAGTGATCTATGCCACCAACCCACGACACGAGGGTATCCATAACCATATAGATAGACCGATCAAGTGTGGAGTACCTATCCACAATTTCTGGACATTTCAAGAAAATTCAGATGTGGAATAGTTTTCCACATTTCCTGGACATTTCAAGCATAGTATTTCTTTTTAATGAAATAGACAAAAACACACACGCAAACACACACACACGCAAACACACACTCACAGACAAACACATGCAAAACATAATATATGTATATTGTATACAATATATTGTAATAAACACTCTTAAATAAAATACATATATATATATATGTATAAATAATTATAGAAAAACGCTGCCGGCTCCTGGGGAGAGCGCGCCAACAAGGATCTAAAATTCACACGTGGCAAGTCCTTCAAGCACGAGAAGACTAAGAAGAAGCGCGGCAGCTATCGGGGCGGTCAGATTGACACGGGCGTTAATTCAATAAAATTCGACTAGTTTTATGTTACCACATAACATATATACATATATATTTTAATACATTTATATATACATTATATAATACTTTAAATATTAGTTTGTAAAAAAAAACCAAACGAACCCATCAAACAGAACTTCAATTATAGTTGTATTGTCAAGTTTTAATTATGTTGACTTATGTTCTATGAACCAACGTTCTGCAAACCAATACGAAATGTGTTTCCATATGTTCCCCATTGAATTTGTAAAGCAAAATCATAGTTTTACTTTGTAAATTTGATAAAATACAAATATTTCGTTTGGTTTACTGAACGCATTCGTGCATAGAGAAACCACACACATTAAAACTTAAATTAAAACTAAGTTACACGCTTGCTGCTTCGAAACCTTTATTTGTAACGACTAGAGTCACAACAGTTAATTAACAAACAATTTAGTTGTTATGATCGACCAAAAGAGGTTTGTGTAATAAATGTATGAATCACACTATGATTGAGCATCTGCAAGCCAGCTGAAAAAGCCCGTAAATAATGTAAGACCCATTATCACATACAGATATGAGGAAATTCTCGATCTGGGTCTGGGTTGTTGTATGAATACACGAACGGGATGCAATTCAGCCGTATCCACTTGGTTGAAATCTTTATCTTTCCATGAATATAAATCAAACTGCAATGGAAATGTAAAAAGGAATAAATTTATCGATTGATAACTGAGATTTTCTAGTTTGAATTTACGCTGTCATTTATAAACTTTAGATCTTCGTCGGATATTTCTTGATTATCATTGCAATATATAATCTCGAATAAATCGCGCAAGTTCTCCTTCTGGGATTCCACAACTTTGCCGCGTATACGAGTCGAACGTGGACTACGTGGGCCACGCGGGGGAGCCATATTTTAAAATAATTGTAATATATATGTAAAAAAAAAATTTAATATATATGTATAAAAAAAAAAAAATAAAAAATAGTAATTTTCCTAAAAGGTGTACGATGTACGAGAACTGTAGTGATTCTAAAGAAAATTCGGATTTGAATCGAGCAAGGCCGTAAGGGAACTCAACTAGAGTTGGCGTCGAGTTTTATGTTATTAGATTTAAAGTCGTAAGGTTTTTATACTATGTCATGCTTAAATGATACATCATTTATAATTATTACAAATTGCTTTTAGTAGGGTAATACTCACCCTAATGATTTGCAATCAAAGAGAATCAATTTTGATTTTATATTTTTATTTAAATGAATTTCAATTTCGAGTGTTTCTATAACTTTGCTTCGTCTTTTCATATATTCATAATGTTCACATTCAGTATTTAAATGGTATTGTCAAATAGTGTATAGTGAACGCATACCATGATATATATATATATATATATATATATATATATATATAATAATTAGTATACATATATATGTATATGCATATGTATATATTGTATACTGTTAGCTATAGTAACTACGTTTAACTTTATTGCATTGCATTGACTGTGACAACAAAGCCGAGTAAAATCAATTGATTCGAAATAATAGTTATAACTAATAAATAATCACAATTGGTTTTAAAAATGTACTTTATAATTTAAAAACATATTTTATAATTCGAGTTACATTATAGAAGTATGTTTGTGTACGGGTGAGATTTTATTATGGTAATCAGCATATCAATTTACAACATCTTTCGGCATTTGGTTGGTTGTTTGTTTGAGGCGATTAAAATACAGCAGAGATTCGATATAACATTTAACTACATACAAATGTAGCGGTTAACTAGGAAGGTGCGTATGTTAAAAATAGTTCAACAAAATACATATACATTCCCCTTTTCTTCTATATATTTATATATATATATATATAAATATATATACATATATATGAGTTAGTGTTTTAAATGAGATTCCTGTCGTTTTCTAATTTGCTTCCGTCTTATCCCTTATTCGGACATGTAGGGATAGTTTATGTCGCGCAGCGGCACAAACGTCTCCTTGATAGATTGCGGGGACGTCCAGCGTAGTATATAATGTGGTCCGCCAGCCTTGTCATTGGTGCCTGACATGCGACCGCCACCAAATGGCTGCTGACCCACCACGGAGCCAGTGGACTTGTCATTGATATAGAAATTGCCAGCTGCCATTTTGAATTCCTCCAAAGCACAGTTGATAAAGTTTCTGCAAAAGCGAAATTTTAGTTATAATGTTAATGAGGAATAGCTTAACGCGTTTAGCTTAGCTTTAGCACTTACTCATCCTGTCCGAAAACGGCGCCCGTGAGCGCAAACTGCGTTGAGGTGTGCACCAGATTCATGGTCTCCATCAAATCAGAATTCTTATATACATAAATGGTGATAACGGGTCCAAAGATCTCCTCAGTCATAATGCGATCCTTGGGATCCTTGGTTTGTACTATTGTTGGATCGATAAAGTAACCCTTGCTATCACTATAATTGCCGCCAGCAAGGATCTCTAGATTCGGGCTCTTTTTGGCATGCTCAATGTAGCCTGTAATGCGTTTAAATGCTTTGTCATCGATGACAGCCGATGTGAACGTGGCCAAGTCCTGAACGTCACCGATTTTCAATTGCTTTACCTCCCGCAAGAGTCCCTCCTTGATCTGTAGATGGATTGAAAATAATACTCAGCAATTTAAGAGTCCATATATCCTATATGATAGGCTTACCTGCGGCCATAGGGACTCGGGCACATACATGCGCGAGCAGGCTGAACACTTTTGGCCACTGTACTCGAAGGCCGAGCGTATTGTGGATGTCACAACTGTCTCAATATCCGCCGACTCGTGCACAAAGTGGAAATTTTTGCCACCACATTCGCCAATGAGGCGCGGAAAGTTAATATATTTGGGGAGATTGTCGCCCACCTGTTTCCATAATCGTTGGAATGTACTGAAGCGGAAACAATTATGAAAATCAATAAGGCGAAGAGTACACAAAATAAAATAAATAAAAACCAAAGCGAATTGAACTTACGGCACCGAACCGGTGAAATTGATGCCCGACAAATGGGGTGAGGCGGTAATCGTGTCCCCGAACACGGGCCCATCAGCCGGCACAAAGTTGACAACCCCATCGGGCACGCCAGCCTCACGCATTATGTTGAAAATGCGCCAATTGGACAGCAGCGCCGTGTCCGAAGGCTTCCACAGCACAGCGTTGCCCTACAGCAAAGCAAAATTAGATTAGACACGAGACGTCATAACTATAATCCAAGTCCTTACCATCAATGCGGGCGTGTAGGCCAAATTGCCGCCAATGGCAGTAAAGTTGAATGGACTGACTGCGGCGATGAAGCCATCGATGCCGCGATAACGCAAAGAGTTCTTCGTGACCTTCGGGTTCTCGCTGATGGGCTCATACTTGACGCACTCCTTAAGGAAGTAGGCGTGAATGCTATGGATTAAAAATCAATTCAAATTAATTGCTTATACAGTATATAAACTATATGATTACCGTATAAAATCAATTAGCTCTGCTGCCGCATCGATTTCGGCTTGGATGACCGTCTTGGCCTGACCCAACATGGTGGCGGCATTCAGCTCCTGACGATATTTGCCGGCCATCAAGTCGGCGGCCCGTTCCCAAATGGCTAAGCGATCGGCCAACGGCACAAGATCCCATTTGGTCTGTGTCTCCACAGCCGTTTTGATGGCCAGCTCCAACAGTTTCTTATCGGCATAGTAGAAGGCAGCCAGCTTGTGGGCATGGTCGTGCGGCATCACCTGATACACCAACTTGTCCGTCTTGTACTCCTTGCCGCCAATAACAATGGGCACCTCAGTGCATGTTGCCTCCGTGGTCTTCAGAGCCTCCTTCAAAGCCGCGCGCTCCTGGGAGCCCTTCCTATAGGCCAATATGGGCTCATTGCTGATGCTGAAATCCTTCAGCTTTGGCTGCATGACCACGCTGCCAATTTCACGAACATGGCTGTGACGAAATTTTGGGAATTATAAGTATGCTGAGTAAGCTAATTGGAATTACTTTGGCGATTACCTTTTAACGGAGCTGACAACCGGATTACGCATAAATCGCAACATCTCGAAGCTGGGAATGGTTCAGGTGAGTATGATGGGGGCCAATCTCGTTTTATGACTTGTTATGTAAATGGTTTTTTTTTTTGTTATTGTTTTTTTTTTTTTTTCCTAATTTCGTTGCCCTGTGAGATAACGAGAAAAGAACGCATACAAACACAGTTTTTTATTAATGCCATTTATAGAACACAGCACATCGGTGTTTATCAGCAACCTTGGCCGTTCGTTCATTGGGGGTCTAGCATTAGCGGCAGCCGGCGAAACGTAACGTGAATTGATTTGATAAGCAGCCAAACGCGAGACACACCCTCTTCAAATGTTAACAGATAATGAGAACACAACAAAAAATAAAATAAACTACAATTTTATGTATATTTACGATTACAGGTCTCGTGCCAAGCAAATGCCAACTGGGCAAGTGAGTTGTGTAAAATGTTCGAGAGTATCTATCGAAGCTCTTTTAATGCGCACAAACATAACCACACACACAACACACACATGAACACTCTCTCATGCGCATACGATACGTCACGCACACACACACACACACGCA